TATATATATATATATATATATATATATATATATATATATATATATATATATATATATATATATATATAATATATATATATATACTACTACTACTACTCTCTCTCTCTCTCTCTCTCTCTCTCTCTCTCTCTCTCTCTCTCTCTCTCTCTCTCTCTCTTATTTTAATATGAAAAAGATTTAAATATGAGAAATTAGATATAAGACTAATAAGACCAATAAATAAAACTATATTTAAATTATATCTTATTTATATTTCAGAATTTTAATAGGACAATAAATATAATATAAGAAATAATTATTTTTAACTAAACTGGTTTTTAAAAAACTATTAAAATTTTTGTTAAATTAGCTTTTATTAAATTAGAACGTAACTTTTTTTAAAAAAAGATAATTAAAAGAACATGTTAAAACAATTCAAATTATTTATGTGAAATTTTGGAAATAATTAATCTTTCTGTAATTTGAGAATTAATATGAATATAAAATGGCAACTATTGCTAACTTTGAATATATATATATATATATATATCCAAAGTTAGCAAAAACCAGGAATAAGACATGACAACATGCTGTTGCTTGTGTTATATTACATTTATAAAACACATGTATGTATAGAAGAATTCTCATTATAATGGTCTTAGCCGTGATGTCACTGTTAATTTATAATTTATTAAAGTGGCAATTAAGAATATATGCGTCATGAAAGCATTGATAAAAGTGTAAAAATTACATAAACTATCTAATTATTTTTTTCTGCATATCTGTGTAAAAAATAAATAGAATTTTTTGAATGAAAAAAAATAAAACTAATAAATTTTATAATTTATATTAATTCTTAAAATAAGAAATGGAGCAATAATAGAAGAACTAAATAGCATCTAGGATATCATATATAAGATATATATTCTAAAATTATTTTAATTTAAATTTATGTTATTTCAATTTAAATTTATGCATATAATTGTTTATTTTTATATTTCACGTATATGTTTAACTTGTCCGACATTTATAACTCAAAATCTTGTTACAACATGCTAGTTATTTTTCTTTTTGCAATTGATTTAAGATATCATCAAAATTTTTGTTATTTATTAGGAAAAATATTAAATATTAAAAATATTAAATAAATATTTTTTCATGAAAATAATAGTAAACATTGTTTTGTTTATACTTTCTTATAATCTAAATCTATTTGATATTTCAAAGATTTATTTCATAAATTTAGGAAATGTTCTTTTTAATTTATGTGTTCTTATTATACATTTTTGTTATTATTATATAGTTGATATATCTGTAATTGTATAATTTCAGTAGTATAAAAGCTCTCATTATTGGCATTTTCATTTTTTTATTTGCTTTATAATTGACCCAATCGCTTTTGTAGCTGTTAAATGCCAAACTTGAATTGCCTATTACGTATATACGATAACAGTATATCTGCTTCCTGTGTTCAGAATTAATTTTTGTAACATAGATTATCAATAGAATAATTTTTTTCTCATTTCTTGTTTTCTCATTTATATATATGATGATTATAGAGAAAAATGATTCTATTGATAATCCATGTTACAAAATAAATTAATTTTATTTATTTATTAAATGTTTAAAGTATTTTCTTAATTTTTTCTCATATACACATATATATCTATACATAATATATAT